AGCATTCCAGGTAGATTTGAAGTGAAGCTTAAAGAATGTGATGTTATGAAAAGTCAATGAGTAGGAATTTTCAACAATACATATTTCATCTGCCAACTCCTTCAGAGGGCAAAAACTGCATCTTAACAAGCACTTCATAAATGTTTCAAAGGATGAATCCTAACCAAATATTGGTTCTCTTCTCTCAGTAAAGAAGCAGTATAAACTAGTTTTAAAATGTGACTAAAAAAATCCTCTAAGCGTTTTGATTAAAAAGTAGAAACAAAAATGAGACACAATAACTGTGAGATGAGGCCATTCCAACCATTAGTCTTACTGAAGTGAAACCAGAGTAATTTAAATGGATTGAGGGCAGTTTGCGTTACTATAAACTGAATTATGGACGCAAAATCAGATTACTCAACCCTTTTGTGACCCAATTATTTTTTCCTTTTAATTTTCTGTTGATACTGTTTTCAGTAACAGAGGGCATACTGAATCATTGAGTGTGTCTGAATTTTTGGTAGGTATTATGGTTTTTGTTTTATCCTCATTCCACAAATCGATCGTACCCTCTGAGTCCAGAGATACATATGTGTACCCCTTGTGAACACAAATTCTACCCCCACAGTCCAGAGGTACCTATGTGTACCAAATAAAAAATTTCACAATTCATGTCTTTCCTACCAAAAATTCAATGATTCAGCAACACCTCATGCAATACCCTGTAAAAACAGTAACTTGTGGCACACGCCTGCTTTTACCATTTCAAACTGTTATATAGGGTCTTGCCTGTTGGCAGCATGTACTCTCAGTGGGACAGCAGCTTCCCAATGAACTGAAGAGGTACAAAAAGTAAGTGGTAGCTATATATACTGCCAGTCCTGAAAGGATAGAAAAAAGGTGCTAACAAAAGTTCTTTGGGAACTTTTTGAGAATTCATTGGTCTAAGATTGATTAGAGAACACTTTGTTTTAATATTAAATGTATCACTACGGATTACTTTATTGCCAGAATAAATGTAATTTCATCTTAGAGGCACCAGCATGACAAGTGTCAAAATTCCCACATAAGAATTGTCTCATAATCCCATGCATTTTTGAATGTCTAATCAGACATTCTTGTAGGTGAAAACCCTATTTATAGTGAGCTGAGTTTTGGGGACAGCTATTTCCAATTCTAATGAAATAAGAACTCATAGCAGAACAACACTCCTACTGAGAATAATTAGAAAAGCTGGATAAAATACAAAAATGAATGAATAAATAAATGGACAGCTGAATGAACGGAGAACTAGCAAGGTAGGCAGGAATTGAGGAGCCAAAATCCAAGACAGAAGGGAAGCTGAGGAGAAGCCAACATTCTGTTCGCTGTTTTTCCTCTTGGGCTGTTTGCTAATTCTTGAACGCAGAAGATATGAAGTCGTGCATGTGGCGGGGAGGGGTTTACTAAGAAGCAGACTTTCAACAATTTTCGTGGGCTGGGAGACTTAAAAAAATAAAAGGAGTGCAGAGATGCCAAATCAGCTAAGGCTTGAGGAACCAAGATCACTAAAAGAAAGTGAGGCTTGGAGAAGACAACCCCATATTTGGTAGTTTCCCCTTTGAGGAAGTTGCCAGACTCTTCTGTTGTTCAGGGAAAAAGGCTAAGAGGTTAAAAGTAGGTTAAAAAAAAAAACAAAAACAACAAAAAACCACAGTGGTGACAAGAGAGTGCCTCAAAGGGTGGAGGTGACAAGTAATGGTGCTCAGGCATGCCAAGGAGGGGCCTGAGGAATTACCTCGGCTGTTGGCTGAGATCTCAGGAAGGTTCCGTCTTCTAGGGGCTGAACCAGAGATAGACCCAGTCTTACAAACATTGCAAACCTACCTCAACCAGCTCTGTCCTTGCCTGCCATAATATAGAGTGAATCCTCTCTGGAAGAAGATGTCACCCATAGCCTCTCCCATGTTTTAAATATATGTCTGGCATTTGATTAAAGGAAAAAAAAAAAAAAAAAAAAAAAAAAACAGACCTGCAGGTGACCCAGATATTAAAGTTGTCAGAAACAAACTTTAAATAACTGTAGTTAATATGTTTAAGAATAGGAATTCCGGAAGACTTAATTGTGCTCATGAGGAACTTGTACATAGACCAAGAGGCAGTAGTTCAAACAGAATAAGGGAATACTGCATGGTTTAAAATCAGGAAAAGTGTGAGTCAAGGTTGTATCCTTTCACCATACCTATTCAGTCTGTATGCTGAGCAAATAATCTGACAAGGTGGACTACATGAAGAAGAATGTGGCCTCAGGATTGGAGGAAGACTCATTAACAACCAGTGATATGCAGATGACACAACCTTGCTTGCTGAAGTGAAGAGGTCTTGAAGCACTTACTGAAGAAGATCAGACTACAGCTTTCGGTATAGATTATACCTCAACATAAAGAAAACAAAAATCTTCACAACTGGATCAATAAGCAACATTATGATAAACCGGGAAAATATTGAAGTTTTCAAGGATTTTATTTTACTTGGATCTACAATCCACATTCATGGAAGCAGCAGTTAAGAAATCAAATGACGTATTGCATTGGGCAAATCTGCTGCAAAAGACCTTTTTAAAGTGTTAAAAAGCAAAGATGTCACTTTGAGGACAAAGGTGTGCCTGGCCCACACCATGGTATTTTCAATTGCCTCATATGCATGCAAAAGTTGGACAATGAATAAGGAAGACTGATGAAGAATTGATGCCTTTGAATTATGGTGTTGGCAAAGAATATTGACTATACCATGGACTGCCAGAAGAACAAAGAAATCTGCTTTGGAAGAAGTTCGGCCAGAATGTTCCTGAGAAGCCTACTGAGACTTTGTCTCATATACTTTGGACGTGTTATCAGGAGGGATCAGCCCCTGGAGAAGGACATCATGCTTGGTAGAGGGTAAGCAAAACAGAGGAATACCCTCAACGAAATGGACGGACACAATGGCTGCAACAGTGGGCTCAAGCATAGCAATGATTTTGAGAATGGTGCAGGACCAGGCAGTGTTTTGTTCTGTTGTACATAGGGTCACTATGAGTTGGAACCCACTTGACAGCACCCGACAACATGTTCAAGACATCCATGACAAGATGAAGTTCACGAGAGAACTGGGATGTATGACAAAAGAATCAAATTTATACAACATTAAAATAAAATAACCAAAATTAAGAACTGAAATTAAGATTGGATGTTTTTGTTGTTGTTGTTATCTGCCATGGAGTCAGTCCCTGACTCATGGTAACCCATGTATGAAAAAAGAATCAAATTTTTACAACATTAAAATAAAATAACCAAAATTAAGAACTGAAATTAAGATTGGATGTTTTTCTTGTTGTTACCTGCCACGGAGTCAGTCCCTGACTCATGGTAACCCCATGCACAATGGAACACTGCCCCATCCCATGATCCGTTGACAATTGGACTGTTGTGATCCATAGGGTTTTCACTGAATGATTTTTTGGAGCAGATCACCAGGTCTTTCTTCCTAGTCCATCTTAGTCCAGGAGCTCCGCTGAAAACTCTTCAGCATCATAGCAACACATAAGCCTCCTCTGACAGACAGGTGGTGGCTGTGCATGAGGTGCATTGGCCAGGAATTTAACCCAGCTCTCCCCCATGGAAGGTGAGAATTCTACCACTGAACAACCAGTGTCCCACCACGAAGATTAACATTTCTAAATTTACATCTACCTAATAAACTAACTTGGCTGCCAACCAAAAGGCTGGCAGTTCGAATCCACCAGCCGCTCCTTGGAAACACTATAGGGAAGTTCTCTGTTCTATAGGGTCGCTATGAGTCGGGATCGACTCAACGGCAATAGACTTTTTTAAAAAATAAACTTCAAAATATATAAGGAAAATTTTGACAGGAATAAAAGAAGAAATTTACAAATCTATAATCATAACATAAGACTTACCACGCTTAGGAACTGACAAGAGCCAGGTAACAAATCAGTAAGGATACAGGAGATCTGAAAACATGATTAATACACTTGACCTAATCAACATAATGCAGCATCCAATAATGACAGAATACATACTCTTTTCAAGTAGACATGGTACACTTATCAAATTTGATTATATGCTGGTCATAACAGATTTCTCAAAAAATTTCAAATGAGTTAAAATTATCAGAGTATGTGGAATGATTATGTGGAATTATGCTAGAAAGCAGTTTTTAGAAAGGTAACTAGAAAACCTCCAGTGTTTTGGAAATTAAGCAATACACTTCTAAATAATTCACAGGTTAAAGAAAAAAAAATAGAAGATGTTTTGAAATGCAATAATAAAAAATATGGATATATATTTAAAATGCAGGTGTTAGAAAACAAGAAAGGCTGAAAATTTATGATTTAACTAGCCATCTCAAGTTAGAAAATATACAGCAAATTATATAAAGTAGAAAATAATAAATATGATGAATGAAATAAAATTGTTTGAAACTTGAACCTAACCTTTTTTACATATAAATAAAGAGCATTTTTGATGGTTTTAATAACATCCTGAATTTTCCAGGAATGTACCTAGAGTGTAAACTAAGTGTGTACTTTGTTTTGTTCGAACTTTACCAAGAGTCATGCATCATTTAGAGAAATCATATCACCAACAAAAAAACCATGCATGGTAGTCTCCATTTGTAGTTACTGCATTGTTAGTGATTCTACACACTGGTGCAACCATCTGATTACTTCATTATATTTTTGTAATGTAGTTGTACCTGAGCATTTACGTATTGGAATACTTATTACTTTATTAGAAATCACTTTCATTTCTTTTCTATTATGAGGGAATTATAAATATTTTAAATTACATAATAAACTGAATATATTAATTATATATGTAGATATTTATCTATGCATTTCATTTCAGAAGAGTAAAGGGGAAATTACAAAAAATTTTTATAAAAAGGGAATATTGGGTATGACAGGGTTGAGAACCTCTGTATTCAATGATTTTTAAGGTCCCTCTCATTCTCAGAATTTACCCATTATTTCTAAGAACAGCCCTGATATACTTTGTAACTAATGTGTGGCAGGCATTATATTTGGAACAGCATCTCACTTAAATCTAATAACCACCCTTATAATAGGTACTATTATTATGTTTATAAGAGGAAACAAATCCAGACAAGTTAAATAATTTGTCTAAGTTTACATACCTAGGAACTGTACAGTTGGTTTGACTCCCAAACTCATGTTCTTTTCACCCAGTGCCCTACAAGGAAAGGTAAACTACATATATTACTTATAGAAGTTAAAAATTGTTTATGTACAGGAGGGAGGTTACACCAATGTGAGCATGTATAAAAGATCCCTGCCAGGCTCAGCAAAAAAGAGGAGGTGGGATGTATAAATATAGCAGGTAAGTTTTTAAAAGTTAGGACCAATTAATCATATAAGGCAGTTATTAATAGGTGACATTTAAAAATATGTCATTAGAATTAAGTTCCAGGCCATACAAAGTTCACCAAAACAATTTTTATTTCCAGTGTTTAATTGGGTATGCACATCGGCATGACACAGGTTTGGATTCATTAAGTCCTCATGCAGAATTATATTCTTCTCAATAAAGAAGCCAGTTCCATCCAGGATTCACTATCTACATACCTATGTTACAACATTTATATCAAATCTGGTATCTGAAGAAAAGATACACATATATGTTCATTTAAGTTACGTATTTTACAGAAAGATTAAAAATTCAAGTCACACAAAACTCAAAAACTGTATTAAAAGCTTGAATATAAAACTCAGATATCCACCTGGAATGACTAAAGAATGAAAATTGTGTATCCACCTGTGTTAAAACTGGTAAATGTAATGAAATTTGTCACCAATAAAATGCATTCATTTATTCAATGTAAGTTATCTAATTTTAACAATATGGCACCCTAAAACCAAATGTATTTTTTATGATGAGGCACTTTTGTTAGTGATGAAACCAAAAGAACACATTTTGCTACATACTAATGCCAGCTATTTTCTTCAGTAATCTTGGGTATACACTATGTAGTAAGTTGCAACAAATACCTTGCTCATTTGTATACAACTATCCAATATATTTTTAAATATATATATATATATGTTCTTCTGGCTGTCGTAATGCACTGTAAAGCTATTTCACAGTGCAAAATGATGAAACCAGCCCAAATGAAGGCTGCATAATATCAGTTCTGGTACAAGAAAATATTTACAGAGTTACTGGAACATGTAACAGTAGCTTTTTATTTGCTGTAGTGGACATACCCCCAGCTTAAAGACAGGGATGAAACTGCGCTTTATTGCCTGGGGTTTCAGACAGTTTATGAGATTGGGCATTAGCTGCAGAACTAGCATTTTGGTCCACATTCTGGAAGCTTTCTCCATTTACTTGGTCAGGTGACTGTGGTGGTATGGAAAGAAGGGGCTTACTAGTTGAAGCCAAGATACTGGGAGAACTGCCTGCATCGGACTGAAAAGACAACGCTGTATCTGTCGTGGACACTTCTAATGTGCTAGTATTCTCAAGCTGCGGGGCTCCAGGCTCTCTTCTGCTAAGGTCGGGTGTACCGGGGCGTAAGCGCTCCCTTGCAAGCCAGTCTGAGATTGACAGGTCCTGGGCTGAGCATTTTGGTTTTAACCGATTTACAGCTGACAGTTCAGAGTCTCTCTCCCCGCTCTGCTCATGTGCTTTCCAAAAATTCAAAACACTTATTTCAGTAGCATCTCTATGCCCTCCCAGCGTATGTCTACGTTTGATGTTTTTCCTTTTTGCAGTTTCACCACTTGTTTTTTGATTTCCCACTCCAAACATATCATCTGCAGGTGCTTTTGGTCGCAGTTTTAAGCGATCTGCTATTTTCATTTTCCAAGTGGGTTCCTGCTTTTCTGATTCACTTCTGGTTGGTGTTAGCAAACTCCCAGTTGATTTTCCTTTTTTCATAACATCAAACACTTTAGTTATTGAAGGTGTTTCCTTCTCATTCTTGGCATCTCCTAGACTTCCACTGTCTGACTTAAATCTAGCAGATTTTTTTCTGGAAAGTGTATCACATTCAATAAGTTTATGTGAACTAAAGAGTTGCCTCCGGCTATCTAAACTTGGTGTTAAACTTCCGTCAGTACAACTTACTTCACTTCCTTCAGAATTTCTCCGGCTTGTCTTAGTAACTTCTTGTACTTTCCCTCGGAAAAGCCTCTCTGATGTCAAAGCTGTGGGAAAAACAGGAAAATCATTCTCACTGTCTGTCTCCACAGGCCTCCCTTCACTGATCAGTTCACTTCTCTCGTCATCAGCTTCGTCGCCCTTACTTTCTGCCACTGATTGCACCTCTGGGCTCAGCCGACTGGAGTCAAGGCTGGTCAGATATGTGGTAGATGAAGTAGTTGAGTAATCTGAGGTGATGGTGCTGACATTGGCTAAAAACTCGCTGTGTTTAGTTTCTGGACTGGTTGATTTCTTGGTGGAAAACCTTGCCAGAGAAGCCTGGGAAGAAGTGCTGAGCAAAGTGCCAGAGTCAGACCCTGTCTCTTCAAAGTGGGAGGACTTTTGCATCAAAAGTGATTTAGGGCTCTCTTTCAGTATGGTGAAGCGGCTGTTAAGAGTCGGTGACTTATTGTGTCTTGAATTGTGTGGCGGTGAGGGTTCTTCAGATGGTATACTGTCTTTTTGTAGTGATGTCTTCTCATCTTTTGTTGCACTGCTGTCTTTTGAAACGATGATCCTTTGTTTTCTGCCCAATGTCTCGCTCTCTTTTTTGGACTCTTCTTTAATATCATCATGACACTGTTCTGCATTTTCTTTCTTAAAAAATACAGTGTCCAATTCATCTTCTGAGCTGCTAGGTTGTGCTTTTTCTTTGGGCTTTTTCCTCTTGCGACTAGCAGCTGCAAATATGGAGGATACAAGCAGTTCTCTGCTATATTGCTCCTTTCCAGATCCCCAAGAACCCTGGGAAGCAATCAGAGAAAAGAGACTTTGAACACATGAACGTTATTGAGTTTATTTTCTGAAAAGGTTTTCCCAACCATTTCTTACTGAATTAGTTCTACTAAAGCTCTAAAAGCACTAACAGAGTGTAATTTGTTTTTTTAATCCCTAAAATAATTTTTTTATGTCTATAATTTATTGTGGATTGAAAAATACACAGGTTAGAGAACACATGGATACATAATATAATTCTATTTAACCACCAGAAAAGTTAATTGTAAATAGTAAAGTTGGGCAAGATATTCACCTACCTGTCAGCAATAATAATGGTATGGGAATCCTCTCTCAGTCGCCAGAGAATTAACAAAACCAACAACAACACCTAAAAATCCTTGCATTTAAATTATGTGTTGAGATTAAAAGGCACTTTTATGTATGTGTTTCATGTAATCCTCAAAAATACTTTCTTAAGAACAAAGTAGGAGAACTCCACACTTCCTGGCCTTAAAACATAACACTACAGTAATTAAAACAGTCTGATACTGGTACAAGGACAGGCATTTAGACCAATGGAATAGAATTGAGAGTCTAGAAACAAACCTATACATCTATGGTCAACTGACTTTTGACAAGGGTGCCAAGCGCATTCATTGGGGAAAGAATAGTGACTGAGTGACAAATACCTTAGAAAGAAAATAGCAGCCTCTATATCTCTCTTCATCTTTAATATACTGATTATTATATATATTTTTTGCTCCTCCTCACCCCGCCATGAGATGAGGAACTGTGCTAAGACACATTTTTTTATTTAATTTGTCTCATTTCTTGCCTGGTAGCATTTATTTGCCAAGTCATACATGGTCATATTTATTTGCCAAGTCATAGCCCACACAAGTCTGTCTTTCAGGGAAATGTTTTGTGCTGAAAGAGTTAAACAATATTCTGACATAGTTGAACATAATATCCTGACATAAGTTACTAAAATTTTATGACCAACTTCAACGTTCTAATTACAGATACAAATACTCTATCAGAGAAGCTCATTAAGATAAGGGACACTTTGGTCTTCCATTAGTTCTATCAGGCTGGACCTTCAGGGACTTGCCTTAGGTAAATCAGGTTGGTAATATCTTCATTTATGTCAAGGTAACAAGAGAATCAAAACACTCAGATAACAAAAAGTCAATGAAAGGATCTGAAATCCTTACCATAGAAATACTTTTAGTGCACTGTCACTGGTAAAGTTATAAGGTAGGCTATTAGTTTTTTGTTTTTGTTTTTGCTATGTATAATAGGTTCTTGATTACACTATTTAATTAATTTGTTCATAATGTCTGTATGTTAAGTAAATAGTCACGGGAGGGTGTCAATACACACTTGTTGACCATATCCCATTTAAGGCAAGCAGGGGGGCAGGAAGTATGTTGAATATTAGAAGCAAAGGTATTATTTCTCTATTGCCATAAAAATCTTAGGCAAGCTAAAATGATCATGCTGAAGTCTTGAAAAATAAGAATCAAAATTTAGGCTGTGTTGCACTAAAAAGGATCAATGAAAATGAAAATACAAAGTAATAGGACTTTGTTTTTCTAAGTTAAAAAGGATTTCAAAATGATACAGCACATTTCTAAGGTGTATTCACATTTTACCACATGCTGCTGAAGACTGTGGGGTAATGGTTGTGGCTGGCTCTGAAGGAGGAGACCTGATGTTCCTTCTCTAGCTTGCTGTGTATGACACTGAGCAACTGGTTCCCTTCAAACATTGCAATTTCATTGTTTACTTAAGAGAAGCAATTAGATTATATTACCTCTAAGGTTTTCTTAAGGTTCCCTTGAAAATTCTATGATTCTGTGATATATATTTGTGTTGGTGCAAATTACTCTACTTATTTTACATCTGCGAAACTGTTAGGAATAGTTGTAATACTTGCATCTCTGTATATACCAGGCCTGGCGCAACACCAGAATTAAGATGAAGAGATTCTTCTAAAATAGGTTAAGGAACGCGCATCCAGGGAGAGGTACAGCAAGGATTTCAAACAGGTCTGTCTGATTTAAAATCTTATCTTCTGGTAAAAGACACTGGGAAATTATTCTAGATTAAGGAAACTTAAAGAGACATGACAACTAAATGCAAGGAGTGATCTTTGATTGGATCTTGCTTAGGGGCATTAAAAACAAAGAACATCATTGGGACAATTGGGCAAATACGTATAAACATTACACCTTAGAAAATATTATACTGTATTCATGGTAAAATTCCTGAGTATGATAGTTATACTGTGATTATATAGGAGAATGCCCTTGTTCTTAGGGATTCATGATGAAGTATTTAGGGGTAAAATATTTTCACATCTACAAGTAACTCTCAAATGGTACAAGTGTATATCAAAATTTGCCAACTGATGAATATGGTAAAGAGCTTGGGTGTTACTGTATTATTCTAGCAATTTTTCTGTACGTTTAAAATTTTTCAAAATAAAAAGTTGAAGCAAAAAGATGGTAAAAGTCACAATATAAATGATAGTGATTTAGGTAATAAAATTAAAACTGTAAGATTTTCTGCAACAATTGTAATTTAATCATATGCAACCTCATTATAATATTTGAACATGGTATGTAAAATTCATGTCTCATTTCCAAATATAAACATTGTTTTAAGAAATTTATTGACAGTTCTAGTTGCTACTGCTTCAGGAGAACAAAGTTTGGACAAATTGAATTAATAAAAAATTTTCCAAGAACTGTAAGAACTTTCTAAAAATTTTTCAAAATCTTGTCTCATTTGGTGCTGTTGCCAACAGAATAGAAATTATGTAAAAACTGATTTTTAAAAAAATTGGTGATTTTGCTACAACTGAGGCAAGAATATATATTTTATATAAAATGCATAATAATAACACAATGTCTGTCCTAGTACTGAAATATTTACAGATGGGATGATACGATGTTTGGGATTTGATCTGAAATAGTCGAAGGAGGAAGAAGGCAGGTGGAGGGTGCAGGTGAAACAGGACTGGCCATGTGCTGATAATTGTTGAAGATGGATAATGGGTACATTCTGCTACCACTGAGTTAACTCTGACTCATAGTGACCCTACAGGACAGTGTAGAACTGCCCCATAGGGTTTCCAAGGCTGTGATCTTTACAGAAGCAGGTTGCCACATCTTTCTCCCTCAAAGCAGCTGGTGAGTTTGAACCACCAACCTTTAGGTTAGCAGCCGAGCACTTAACCACTGCACCACCAAGGCTCCTAAATGGGTACATAAGGGCTCTCTACTTTTGAAATGTTAGAAATTTTTCATATTAAAAAATGATGGAAAAAAGCCTCATTCTTTATATTAAACTACACTAACAGAAATCTAGTATTTCAACTCATAATCCAGTATCCTTCCATCATATTCTATTTTAAGAATTAATTTTTCCCTTTATTTGACTTTGCTGCTCTGTCTCATCACAGACTGGGGTGCATTTGCATACTAGGCATAACAATCAGCCAAAAAAAAAAAGGCAATCCCCCCCTATATTTCAAAAGTGTACTGAACAATTTACCTTAGATTTAGCTGAGTCACTAGTAGCTGAATCTGTGAGAAGTTAAATAAAACATGGTCAGTATTAGCCAATCTTTACCGCTTTCAACAAACAATGCAAAACTTATGGAAAAGACAGGCACAGAACAAGACGTAAAAGCAAAACTCAAACAAAACCAGAGAACACAGTGGATAGTCAGAGCTCACAAAGATGCAAGCTGCACCACAGAAAGCCACCGCCATGAAAGGATGCTGTGAATTGTAGGCAGAACCAGCTCAATGATAGGAATGGCAAAGGAGCCCTGTGCTAAACAAAAACAGAAATACTACTGTTTATTAAATTTTCTTATTTAAATCTAGCAATAAAGAAGCTTGAAGACCTTTTCACAATTGGACTGTGTACCACATCCTGTATCTGAAACTGATACACAATGTAGAACTTGTAACATTGTTGGCTGCCTTAGCTACAAATTGAGACACTCAGTGTATTTATGTTGATTTTTGTCAGACTGTTAAACTTAGTTCCTTAAATTTTATAGCATATACTATATGCGTATGGATGCAAAAGAGGCATGAGGATAACTCTGCTTCCAGGTCACTTTGATTTTATGTTAAATTAATGCTGATCTAGGTGCTTTAGACCCCACTTTCAGATCAGTGAAGTCAGGGATCCTTTTGACTAGTTTGGTTAAATTGCTACCAGTTTTGTAATTTATCTATTAACAAATGCTATTATGAAAATGGAAAAAATGGAGACCATATTTTACTGTCTGGCAAAAACTCAGATTATACAATTATAAAGAGGGTAGAAAGGGGCTAGCATTATTCAGGATAATACCAATTTTGAAATTTCATCTTTCAACTTTAGGGAAATTGTTTTTCAAAATGAATGAGCTGAGCCCCATGCCACACCCCTTTTTGACACATGGCTAAAATGCTTTATGACTTCAAAAACTGGTAGACCATACCATGCTATTTCTCCTCAGGGTCTGCTTCAGAAATAACAAGAAACAGCAGAAAAACTTTTAAGAAAGTAGTATTGATCTGTTTACAATAATCTTAAGAGAAAATTTACACCACAGATCAACTATGTTTGCATTTACAAGAATCGGGGGTTTCTGCAGACAAGGCAGCTACAGTGTGGGCAACAATCCTCCTTCTTCCTACAGTTCCAGCTGTCCATCAGGGACATCACAGAATCCACTAGTGACATTACCGTGTGATAGACTCCTCCCATTTCACCTGTTTCAACATCAGTATAGATTTGCCTGTGTCAGTAAGTGCTGAAAAAACCCTTTAGGACTAAAACAAGAACTAGAGACAAAGGGAGAACATTGTGTGAAACAACATGCTAGATTAGTGCAACAGCTTGGCAGGAGAAAATGTTCATCAAAAGAGTCTATAAAAACTAATATTTAATCAAATATTAGGGCGGCAATAGAAAACAAGAAAAATAAATGTTTCATAGATCTATAGTGACGAATAATATACTGTATTTAAGAAAATGATGCCCATTAGCAATTCAACATATATATAACTTGCTGCTTTTAAAACAGAACTTCTAGCTCAAGAATCAGAACTATTTATACAGTCTAGATCATACTTTCTGCCATCACAGCAACCACATATTCAGTAGCATATATCTGTTTTACCTTGTGATGACTATTACATGGAAACTGTGAATTAAAAAAAAAAAACAAAACAGTGGTTTGCATGCTCATTTCCCTCCTATTTCCATTCTGACAATAATTACAACTCCATGCACTGCCAATGGCATTATAGTCACTGGAAGATAATAAGATCAATCAGAAAAGGAAGATTCAGTTTTTAGTAATAGAAAGAAAAGAAAAGGAAGAAGAAGAGAGAGAAAAATCATAGTGAATTGTTACTTATGATTGATTTGTTCTTTCATGTTGTAAGAATTCAGCTTTTAACCTAGAGCTCAATACCGTCCAGGCAAGAGTTACCTGATACATCTCCTGGGGATACGCCTGTCCTTCCAATGTTGGTGAGTAAATGATCTATGTTTGGCACTGGCTGGGTGTCTACTGTGCTCTCCTCCTGCACCGTTGTCTATGGTTAATAAACAAAAATCTCCTCATCATCTCTTCAGAGAGATTTTCTTTAAAATTCAAACAACATTTAGTAAAAGACACGTATTACTGAGTGGAGCACACATGCTTAATTTTTTTCTTTACATTGTTTACATATAATTAACTGCAGAATAAGCATTATACTTGTATTTCCATTAGGTAAGATACTGAGGAGCTATAGACCTGCTTCCAGTCTGCAAAGCAGACAATAGCATACAAAGCAGGAGGTTGGCATTGTTGTAGCACCCGGATCTTGTGTCCCAGAGGAAATAACAGAGCACAAATGCTGATGGACAATACTCACAAGAGGTTCTTCGGCACCTTCTTCTGTGAAAAACCAGTCATGCTAAAATTTAAAATAAAAAAGGTGAAAAGAGAAATTAAATAACTTCCCAAATATGTCTATATCTTGGAGGATGGAATATAAAAAAGACAATTTTTTTTAGGAAAAAAATAATTATAATGAAAATTCTGTCCTACCAAATATCAGCTGCTCATTAAAATGAATTTTCTTGGAGGTTGACCATAAACTTACGTGTTGGATAAGTGTTTCTACAATTTTATACTGGTCAGGCATGTGAGTAACCATGTGTGTCATGTTATCTTCTGATGTTCTTACAAGAGTTGGACCAAAAACGATTGCTAGATTTCTTGGTTCCATCTGAAACAAAAGATGTTATTGGAAAAATATGAGACTTTTCCTTAAGAAAGTAGGCTTAAACTCCTGTTATATTCATATTTTATTTCTGAAAGGTTCTTTTGATGAAAAAGAATTCAAAGAAGAATGGCTGGCTGATGTGGGTAAAAAAATGATGCTTTTTAGATAGGAAATCTTTTCCATAAGCAAATCTATACATAACTTATTTTTCTGTTTTACTGACAATGTGCAATGCTTAATTGACATTCATTTCTTCCAAGAAGTCTTTGAAAGCAATTGATTTGGTTTAAAACTAGTATTACCAGAGCTAGAGTAGCTGACAAAAATTTTAAAATCAAAGGAAGAAAAAAAAAAAAAAAACCTCGGAAAAAAATTGGGAAATTCTTTCTCCTCAAAACCTGACAAATGAACAGAAGTGCTTAAAGATACATAAAATGTTTCAAATTTGCCCCAGTGGCACATTAAAATCACTAATATGTAAAAACACAATGTCTGCAAATACTCTTTTTTGATCATTTTTTATTTTAACCAAATCTTCTGAAGCTCTTTGCTTAGACTCCCACCAATCTGAATGCCTGGATATTATATACTTCTGTGTTTATACTCATGTAGCAAAATATAAACACAGTATTTATTTTTAGAGTCAACATCACAAAAGAAAAAAGGTGGAGCAGTTATTCAAATAGAAATAAATAAACTTGCATCATCCTGTGTATCAATATCAGTTTGATGTATTTTAGAGATTTCATGGATTTATAAGCCTGTTTTTGATTATTTTTCATGAAGCAATGAAGCATACCTTTTCAACTAAGGCCACTCGAAGTACGTACTTTCAGTATGCACTTTACATACCTTATTTTTTTCTGAATTTTCTGCCACTGTCTTCAGATGAGCCGAAAGAAACTTAAGTGTTTCAAAATGATGTTCAGGTAAATCATGAATCTGAAACATATTATTTTTATGATGGATTTAAGATATTTAAATGATGAATTTTAGTTCTACCACCAAATACATAAAATAATACCTACTAGTCTTTTTAATGTTTTCAGACGCTCTAGAGGATCTTCTTTACGATTGGCTTCAATAAAGTCGGCATATTTATCTGACAACGACAATAAGAACCATAAAACAAAATTATCTTAACTTGCTACCAAAAAAAAAAAAACAAAAAAAAACTCCAAAACTTGTTGCCGTTGAATCGATTCTGACCCACAGCAACGCTATAGGCAAGAGTAGAACCCATAGGGTTTCCAAGGAGCGGCTGGTGGATTTGAACTGCTGACCGTTTTGGTTAGCAGACGTATCACTTAACCACTGTGCCACCAGGGTTAACTTGCTTAGGTAAATTATAATTTAGTTTTCCCTTGAGGTTCAATTTCAAGACACAGTTAAAAAATGTAGGGAAGATCCCAAATCACCTTTTCTTTATTGTGTTTTAGGTGAAAGTTTAGAGCGCAAATTAGTTTCGCATTCAAAAATTTATACACAAATTGTTTTGTGACATTGGTTGCAATGCCTGCAAAGTGTCAGCACTCTTCCCCTTTCCCTTTACACCCCTGGCTCCCCGTGTCCATTCGTCCAGTTTTCCTGTCCCTATCTTCTCATCTTTACTTTTGGGCAGGTGCTGCCCATTTGGTCTTGTATACTTGACTGAACTAAGGAGCACATTCCTCACACGTGTTGTTTGTTTTACAGGCCTGTCTAATCTTTGGCTGAAAGGTGGACTTCAGGAGTGGCTTCAGTTCTGAGTTAGCAGGGTGTCCGGGGCCATAGTCTCAGGGGTTTCTCTAGTCTCTGTCAGACCAATAAGTCTGGTCTTTTTTAGTGAATTTGAATTTTGTTCTACATTTTTCTCCCGCTCTGCCCAGGACCCTCTATTGTGATCCTTGTCAGAGTGGTGGGTGGTGGTAACCAGGCACCATCTAGTTCTTCTGGCTCAGGCTGGTGGAGGCTGTGGTTCTTGTGGTCCATTAGTCCTGTGGACTAATGTTTTCCTTGTGTCTTTGGTTTTCTTCATTCTCCTTTGCTCTGAACATGATGAGACCAATAGACGTATCTTCAGATGGCCGCTTGCATGCTTTTAAGACCTCAGATGCTACTTGCCAAGGTAGGATGTAGAATATTTTCTTCATGAACTATGTTATGCCAATTGACCTAGACGTCCCCCAAGACCACAGTCCTCAGCCCTCAGCCACAGTAACTCAGTTCCTGAAGGTGTTTGGAAGTATCTAGGAAGCTTCTATGACTTTGCCTCGGTCAAGTTGTGCTGACTTCCCCTATATTGTGTGTTGTCTTTCCCTTCACTTCTCTACTGTCTAGTTAGTGATTTCTCCTCTCCACCCCTCCCCTCCCTCGTAACCATCAAAGATTGTTTTTTTCTGTGTGTAAACCTTCTTTTGGGTTTTTATAATAGTGGTCTCATACAATATTTATCCTTCCGTGATTGACTTATTTCACTCAGAATAATGCCCTCCAGATTCATCCATGTTGTGAGATGTTTCACGGATTCATCATTGTTCTTTATTGTTGCATAGTACCAAATCACCTTTGAAGAGTCTCTAAAACTGCTATCGTTTTTAATGATCCTCTAAGCCTTATCATCAAATAAAACAAAATTCCCTGAAATGTGAGTTCCCTTAGGGTATCATCCTATATTCATATAGCCTGTATATTCCTTTCTCCCCGACCACAACATCTATTAGAGTATCTTATATGTAGTTTCTTTTATATAGAGGATGTCACATATCACTCAAATATTTATCTCGACTGAAAAAAATGTTTTCCAGTAACTACAGGGTTGCTATGGGTCAGAATCGACTCAATGGCAATGGGTTTGTTTTTTGGTTTGGTACCTTATTATGTCTGAAGATTTTGACTGACAACAATAATAATGTATTTTTAATTTGACTGTAAACATGGATAACATGAAAGCAAATACAGAACCTAAACAATTTTTTAAATTGCAATTTTTCATTTAAATTTATCAGGAAAAGAAAAAAATAATCCAATGACAAAAAAAGCACATAATTATGCTTCTACCATGTCAGTAAGAACTAAATAAGACCATCTGTTGCCCTTGGCAAAAATACTTTTTCCTGGTTCAATTTACTGTTCTACGGTTTTCTAATAGTCATAATTTCAAATTGTTTCATCTGGTATCTTTCACGGGAGTTAACTCACCATTTGTGAAGAGAGGTTCAGGGAGTTTTCTGAAGAATGATTTTAGTAGACTGCTTATCACATTCAAATCTCGCCATTTCTAGGTATACAAAATAGAAACACAGTATTTTTCGCGTCAACCATCACAAAAGAAAAAATTGGAACAGTTATTCAAATAGAAATAAACTTACATCATCTTGTATATCAATATCAGTCATTCCCTTGTTGAGTTCTTCTTGCATACTCGAGATGGCTGCATTATTTCCAGGAACTCTATAAATACCTGTATATTCAAGACCTCTTTCTTCAACTAATTTGCAACATATGTCAACTATTAATGGAATATACTGCAAAACAAGAAATAAACATTTTTACTTAATACAACACAAATGTTTATATTCAGCTGGTAGTTGCATCATAGCTAAAAAACCCTTTTATCCAAGAGGAAATATATAAATTGCTATTATGTGATGTAGAGGAAATAAGGAATAGAGACAGTGTAGAGCTTCGAATAGATAAAACCAGCAAGAGATATTGAAGCCAGTGGGAAAAGAATAAATAGGCCGAGACAGAAAGAGAAGGGCCTATGAGGAGATCACAGCTAGGAAATAATAACAACTAAGTAGAATGTAGGGAAGGAAGTTTGAATGAAGGGGGATAAAGTAAAACAACAACAACAACGACAAAAAGAACAGGGGAGAGAGTTACATCAATCAGCTCATAATTTCAATCTTAACACGTGTTGTAAACGCACACATGCACACACACGCACATTTACATTTATTATACTTTCTTAATTGGGTCCTTGTTTTAAGATGCTAAAAGCAGAAACACACATGATTTGAAAATAAATTCTTGCCCACCCTTTCAGATATATTTCAAATACATGCCTAATGGCTGAATAACCGCTGTATTTCAGAGTCAATGCATCAGAAAAAAGCATTATAGATAAATGTACGCCACACCCTCTTGCAGGTCAGAAATGCTTAGGGAAACTAAGGTTTGCAAAGAGGAAAATACAAAACAAGCTGACACCCTCTATTAACTGCAAGACCATATACTTGTTGCCATCGAGTCGATTCTGACTCATAGCAACCCTATAGGACAGAGTAGAACTGCCTCATAGGGTTTCCAAGGAGCGGCTGGTGGATCTGAACTGCCGATCTTTTGGTTAGCAGCCAAATGCTTAACCACTGCACCACCAGGGCAAGGACATATACTCAGGTCCTATTATGATTACAACGAAATTAATGACTTTAGGAAATCCAGTGTTGTCTCCTACCCGATTAGTATGAGCTGGGGGGCAGTCGTCCAGTCTGACACCAAACGTTCCTGTAGCAGTAGGCTTTTTTTCAAATGTCTTCCTCATAATACTTGGAATGCCTTTTCTCCATGTGCCTTTGTCTTTTGGGGGACTGGTATCATCTTTTGATTTTTATTACAAATAAAATGATATAATAAAGGAAATAGAAATGAGTGTTTCAAGTATGGCTTCAAAAATCCTTATCAATGTTTACATAAATCAGAATCCTGTAATATAAGTAATACATACTAAATTTGCAAAAAATATTGTATTATATTCTCTTCTTAAGATAGCATTCCTTTTAACCTTCCATATAATTTAATAGGTATCAATTCTATTCCTTCACCCTTTTATAATCTGTATCATGATTTTCTTTAACATTCAAGAAAATAAAATCAAGGTGTCATCTTCATAGTGAGATTTTAGCAAAAGGATATATAATAGTTTTATCTCAAAATGATAGGACCTGGGTCCTCTGAGTCATTCAAATTTGTAATGTCTTTGATATAGATGTATGTTATATTTTCCTTCACTTTGTCTTTTTAACAAAAGCTGGTATCTTGGACCACATCTTAAAGGGAAAGGCCCAATTAGCCTAGACCAGGCCTACGGTGATCTGTGAACTAGCTGACACTGAGCCTAGATCAGTAGACATGGCAGAGAAAATCATTAAAGTAGGTTTAAAAATCCCAGTTTTAAATCATTTTATTTGTTAAATCTATCCAAGAAAGCTAACATCAGTACCTTTACTGAGGAGTTTCCTTTCTGACTCTTCCTTTGGAGAGTGTGGACTTTGAGTCTTTGCCTCTGATTTCGCACCAAGCAAAGTCTGCCTGATGCTGAGACTCTGGCGAGGTGTTTTTGTCAACTGTTCTGCTTTGCTGCTGAAAGAAATAAAGATTCCTTAACAATTACCTATTTTACATCCAAATTAAACTATAGGCATGGTGGGATTCTCACCTCATCAGACTATTATATTCTTTTATTCTCCGACTAATTAGATCCCTATTGGTAACTCCAGTGTCCTATAGAACAAACAGAAGGTAAGATTAGAAAGTCAATTCTAAGTATAAACAGTGATCCCTACTGTACTACTTTGCTATTTCAATATAAACCCTATACTTCACTCAGTGTGGAACTCTTTTCAACCCCATCATGTTACAAATGTACCCTTATTGCCAAGAGTGCTCCATTTATTTTCTGCACTCCTACAATACCTAACATTACAACAGCAAATAACAAGTGTTCATACGTACTGAATTGGTCTATCATTTTCAATAAAGGATTGGGAAGCAGCAGAATGTCAGTTTTTTCTCTCACTAATACCAGAAAGAATGATCACCATTTAAAAATAATACAATTGGATAAAAGATGGGAAAATACTGCCAGGATTTGTTAATGATTAATTTGTAGGAGCAGTGAGATTGAGGGTCAATTAGTATTAGAAATGGCAGTTAGACTATGAGATGAGAAAAGCTCAAAAGTGTTTCGTTTTAACTTCAATAGGTTAACTTTTATAATATACTATATGGTAAACCTGGAACATAGAGTAATGATTTTTTTTTTCTATAGACACCAAGGAGTCCCTGCATGGTGCAAATGGTTAAGTGCTTGATGATTAGCTGAAAGGTTGCTGCTTTCAACCCACTCAGAAGCGCCCTGGAAAACAGGCCTGGTGATATGCTTCTGAAAGGTCACAGCCTTGAAAACTCTATGGAGCAGTTCTACTTTGCGCACATGGGGTTGCCATGAGTTGGAATTGACTCAACAGCAACTAATAACAACACAGTCCCCAATTATACATTGGCCTCTGTCCACATTTTCACTTGTCTCATTTTGATTATAATGAATGACAAAACAATTCACAAAGAATGCAGACTTTGGAGTCGAACAAACTTGAATTCAAAACGACTATTCCACTTCCTAGCTGAGAAATCTTATGGTTAAGATCTGGAATAAGATTGCCTGGGTTCAAATCCTAGCTTTGAACTTATTAGCTATGTGACCTTGGGAGAAGTTACTTAACCTCTCTCTGCCTCACAGTTTCCTTGTTTATAAAATGGTGATAATAATAATAGTGTGCATTTGTAGGGCTGCTGAGATCAATTCATGCGGAGTGCTTAAAATAGTGCCTGGCACATGGTATATGCTCAATGAATATTAACCATTGTTATTTTCTCATCTATAAAATTGGGAAAAAATATCTGTGTTTTAAGATTAGATGATGATGATGATAATGGCTGATATTAACTGTTTATTATCTGCCAGGCAGTATGCTGCATTCTTCATAAACATTATCCATTCAATCCTCAAAACAGTCATATGTTTCACAGGTGAAGAAATGGAAGCTTATCAGGGATAAGTAACTAGCCACAACTGCACAGTTAGTAAATGATAGAGCAATTAAATCTAGGTCTTTCTGAATCCAGAACATGAGATTTTAACAATCACACTCTACCACTATGAGTCAGTACCCACTTGATGGCAATGGTTTATGGGCTTGATAGAATGCTTGGCGTAGAGCTGCTTATTAAACAGGAATGCCACTGAACTGTCACTCACAGCTAAAATCTACAGCCAAGTTCTTATTCTTTCTGATTACTTCACAAAAATTCAGGTCTGGATTCTTTCTTCATAAGTGGGTGGTTGTGGAACAAAGGTTGTATGATAATTGTTACTCATAAATAAGGGCAGGATGTAAACTACCAGAGAAAATTTTCCTATGGTGTAAGTTTTCATAATTTGAATTGGAAATAATGGAAATGACTAAATTAAAGATGATAATTTGCATGACCCTTCAGCTAATGTAGGTATTCTTATGTACTGTGAGCAAGGAAAATGAGCTTTGTGCTTTTATGTCATAACAATGGGCACGAAAGGTGAGAAGAACGTGTAAGAAAAACCGTGTTAATGATATGAAAAAAAGTGCTCTTGAGCAAAAGCTAGACTTACTCATTGATGGATTTGCTTAGTAAAGTTTATAATACATATACTTACAAAGACTACCTTGACTATCTAAATTCCTGCTGTAAAAATATGTTGGTACTGTAAGCTAGAAATTCTCAAGTCCCTAAACATTATTCTTCATTTAAAAACAAACAAACAAATCTAGTTCACTACATGATTTTTGATAATGCAAGTTTTCTTAGAAACCAATTATTATATTACCATAAGCTATCTTATATTTTTGCCTGTGTCATTCCATTAGCAATAACCATAATACCCATATGTCTTTGTATTACATAGTAATTTGTTTTGATAAGCATTTTCACTATAGTTTAAGCCCCACAACAATCCAGTTTTTGAGATGAGAAAACAGATACAGAATTATTTACACATAAAGGTAATGGCCAGGACTAGGAACCTACGTCTCATCATCTGTGGTTTATTGCTTCTGAGAAGGCATGCAGAGTATATGAATAACCTATCTTTCTAGTTCAGCAATGGTGATTTTCCAATAACTGGAAATCATACAAGTACATTTTTCTTTTTGATCACTGCTATTTTCTAAATGAAAATATAAATACAGCATACTTTTTTTTTTTTTTTACAAAATGATGTATCAGATTCTTTGTCTTCTTAAGGAAAATGTGAGTGTCAGTTTTCATCACCCACATTATTTTGAACATATACCTCTTCATTTAGGTTGCTACTCTCCTGGATAGTCTTGATCCATGCTAACATATCATCTCTGTCTTCAGCTTGAAAGAGGCATTCACAATCTGATGTGGTAAGTCGAAACACATTCTTCCTCTTGGTCTCACTGTAAGAGATGTCTATTAAGCAAGCATTAACACTGATGGGTTGCTCTTCCTCAGATGGAGTCGTCTGTTCTCTTTTGTCTTTGTACAAGTAAAGTGAATGACCCCGAAGTACAACATACATCTGTTTCCATGGTCGAATACTTCCACCAACTCGCTAGAAAACATGAAACAGTTCTTGAATACATAATACTTGGCTAAATCTTTGTGACAGGATAAGCATATTAAGCAACACTATTAACATGCATAAATGTATACCTCATGTAGAAGATGTCTAATTTATATCAATACATACTTATTAGGAGAGTAAAGATAAACATTTTAGTAAATCAAATTAGGCAATGTATTCATATTGAAGTCAAGGATAGTGAAAACCTAACCTTAATTTAGCTGGGAAGACAAAACAAAGCAATTAAAATAAGTGTAGTAAAATGTTAATGGACTAGAAAATTTTTAGAAAACAATTTTAAATCAAAGTTAAAAAACATTTTTGAGTGAAAGTAAGTCTACGACAAGACTTACAGTATGCAAATGACCAATACTACAGAAGAAGATCCCAAAACAATATACACAATGAATTAACAAAGTTCATCAACTTTATACAGTCAAGCAACAATATCCACACCCAGGTGGGTTTTCTTTCAAATTTTGAACTTTTTCGGCAGTATTAAAATTTTCTTTTTTTCCCCCAGAGGTTAGTGGAAATTAACAAATTTTATTTTGAATCACATTTTTGGCCTTAGTCTTTTTTTCCATTTTTTTTTTTTTTTTTTTACTGTGCTTTAAGTGAAAGTTTACAATTCAAGTCAGTTTCTCATACAAACATTTATACACACATTGCTATGTGACCCTAGTTGCTCTCCCTATACTGTGACAGAACACTCCTCCTTTCCACCTCTGACTGCCCATGTCCATTCAACCAGCTCCTGACCCTCTCTGCCTTCTCATCTCGCCTCTGGACAGGAGCTGCCAAGAAGCACATTCTTCATCAGTATCACTTTATGTCCCATAGTCCAGTCTAATTTTTGTCTGAAGTGTTGGCCTCAGGAGAAGTTTTAATTCTGGGCCAACAGAGGGTCCGGAGGCCATGTCTTCCGGGGTCCCTCCAGTCTCAGTCAAACCATTAAGTCTGGTCTTTTTACTAGAATTTGAGTTCTGCACCCCACTTTTTTCCTGCTCCGTCAGGGACTCTCTGTTGTGTTCCCTGTCAGGGCAGTCATTGGTGGTACCTGGGCACCATCTAGATCTTCTGGTCTCAGGCTGATGGTGTCTCTGGTTTATGTGGCTCTTTCTGTCTCTTGGGCTAACACTCTCCTTGTGTCTTTGGTGTTCTTCATTCTTCTTTACTCCAGGTGAGTTGGGACCAATTGATGCATCTTAGATGGCTGCTCGTTAGCTTTTAAGACCCCAGATGCCACTCACCAAAGTGGGATGCAGAATATTTTTAAAAATTTTTTCCCATACAAAAATTTATACATATATTGTTATGTGACTCTAACTGCTCTCCCCATACTGTGACAGCACACTACTCCTTTCCACCCCGATTCCCCATGTCCAATCAACCAGCTCCTAACCCTCTCTGCCCTCCCATCTCACCTCCAGACAGAAGCTGCCCATTTAGTTTCTTGTATCTACTTGAGCTAAGAGGCACACTCCTCAAGAATATCACTTTATGTCCCACAGTCCAGTCTAATCTCTGTCTGAAGAGTTGGCCTCGGAAACTGTTTTAGTTCTGAGCTGATAGACAATCTAGGGGCCATGCTTTCTGGGCTACCTCCAGTTTCAGACCATTAAGTCTGGTTTACTTACTAGAATTTGAGTTCTGCACCCCACATTTCTCCTGCTCCATCAGGAACTTTCTGTTGTGTTCCCTGTCAGAGCAGTCATTGGTGGTAGCCGGGCACCATCTAGATCTTCTGGTCTCAGGCTGATGAAGTCTCTGACTTATGTGGCCCTTTCTATCTCTTGGGCTAATACTTTCCTTGTGTCTTTGGTGTTCTTCATTCTCCTTCACTCCAGGTGGTCAGGACCAATTGATGCATCTTAGATGGCCGCCTGCAAGCTTTTAAGACCCCAGACGCCACTCACCAAAGTAGGATGCAGAAGATTTTCTTAATAAGCTTTGTTATGCCAATTGACCTAGATGTCCCCTGAAAGCATGGTCCCCAGACCCCTACCCCTGCT